GTTTGAGCGTACATGTGTCTTTAAAATGAGATTGCATCACTATATGACCCCAGTAGGGAACAATATCAAGTAGTTCACTAATATAAAAAGATATTCAACAACTGAGGTATAACGTTGGACAACGTGAACATTTTTGTGGTACAGCAACGCATGAGCCCTCAAAGAATCAAGTGCCAGCTTCTAGAATTTCTACCTCGTCGGTCACCGTTCGTCATTGCTTCAGAGCCTAGAGTACAAGTTTTTCATGACATTACCGCATTCGTTCTACATAGTTCTACTGTCAAGAGGGGATCCCGGAGGGGGACTATAACGTTCGCATCTTCTGTAGCAGTGAAAATGGAAGATAATGAGTTTTACTGGAGCCGTATCTCATTGCTAGAGAGAGGGGGAATTTACTCGCGAGAAGTATGTTCTTGGCTGTTGACGTTCCATGGTTTTTCCCGCTTCGGTGGCACGAACCTCTGGCTCAAAACGGCAATTCTTGGTTGAACAACTGAAGAATCGCTCCGAAAATTGTAGAATGGTAGAAACTTAGCGAGAATTCAGGACAATCCGGGAAGGTCGTAGGTTTAATAGGAGAATGAGGAAGAGGGGTTGTTTCAAAGGAAAACGTTGTGAGGGTGGTCGTATTTCGCAAAAGTTCTCCACAGTGGCACGACAGGCCCTGAACAACACTTCCAACATTAGATTACTAGTCAACAGCAGGACAAGCCTTGACGGAACTTTCGTTGAATACGACCTCTACCCACCCAAATTATCTTCTCCGATATGGTGGTCTCCAATTAGCGACTGACCATCTTACACACCGAAATTCGCTGCCGAGTGGGGAGGACACCAATTGCCAAGTATCAGAAACAGTAAATACTTTTGCAGCCTCACCAAGAAGGGGCAGGAACAAACCGTGCGCATGGAACTGAAAAATCAAAAACCGGAAAAAATTCTGAATGCGACCCCTCCAGCGTCCAGTTTTGCGAATTCCATACAGTCACTCCACGGTGTGTCGAAAAACTCCGATCAGATCGTGTAGGGGTCGAGCTAAATGCAACACCCCACGTCTTGAGGCGTAAATGGCGCACTTAGGCACATGTTGTACGTTCCTATCGCATAGCCATGTCGACAAGGCCAAGGTTCGCCAAGTCCTCTGCAGTAGAAAGTAATGAATGAAAAAACCACCCATTACCTTGAATCTACCCCGTTCGCGGTATGATATTTCCAATCTGGATTTCTAAGAGAGTACCACAATCTAATAAAGTCGGCCTACAGCCGACTTTTTTTTACTTTTTTTATAATGGAGCGAAAAATCATATAAATTACCAAACATATTCGGCTGTTGTTTAGTTGTTTACTTCGCGTCTGGCCAGTAAACAAACGAAGGTGTTATTGACTAAAAAGAAACAAAGCATCAATGTTCAGCTCAGTGCTCGTCTTTCCGTCAAGCCCGATACCAAATGACCGATCTCCAGGAGATGAACTGTGGGGGGGGGTTCCTCCACAGAATCCAGAAAATCATTGTTACCTAGGCTCCGGCAGTTCGGCTACGGGGAGCACTTTACTTCTGCTACTTCCTGTCGACGAGCCGACCATCTGGACAGATGACGGACAGATTACAAGAATTAACAGGTTACATCGTGGTGGCGCAACGACGTTGCTCCATCTTCACAAGAGTATACAAGTTTCATAAAACGGAATTAGTGAAGCAGCCCAAGTGTAAAAATGCCCTCCGTAACCGATCCGCGCCCAATTTTCATACTACTCATTTCTTATTATATTATCGAAAGTAAAATACGAATCTGTCCTTGATTCCCACCTATAGCACCCAAAGCGCCTTCAGCAAGATTTTGAGTAGAATCAGCCACTTTTCCGCCGACTTGTTCTGAAAAGTGATCTATCAACTGGAAGAATTACACGCCTGAAACTCGTGCACCAGATAACTCAAATGAAGCATGCATCAAGTCACACGCACACACACACTCGTTTGATAGTTAAGAAATCGAAAAAAGAAAATTCTCTCCACGCGATTTACCGATTCGGCCGGCAGCTGTATGGAATTGATCTCTCACATTGGTGGCGAACGTTGCTAATAAAGGCAATATTATGACGATTTATAAAAATTGTTTCGAGCACCGTAGTGCATTTTAGTACTTACTAAGTAGTGAGTTTGATGCACTAGACCTAAGTGTTCTAAGCTAGGTTATCGATTCAGTCTTCTATGTTAGAATTTCATCGAAATTTTTACCTGTTTCACTAGGTTTTTTTATGATCTTAATAGTAACGGTTTTTCACTGATAAATAAAATGGACGCCAATAAGTTTGAAGGAGGGGGGGGGGGGGTGATGGGGTATTAAGAGGGCTCCCTTGCCAAAAGTGGAAGTGGCGTCATCTAATTAAAAGTGCACCCAAACTCCGTCTTAACGCGAGAATCCCATCTTTGCACAAGTGATCGTTAAAGGATTTCAGCACCATTTGGGTGTTGCCCGGGAACTGTATGCTGTGCGATTTTTTCCTGTTTGCTAAAAATTTGTGCCAAAAACGAAACTTCTCAAGAAAGCAGTGCAAGGCGAAGAGGTGGAGGGGGACGTATATAATTTCAAATTATGGAATTCCTGGGTTTGAGATGTTTCTGCGCCCGAGGAGTGGGCGCCTGGCGCTCTTGTGCCAGTGAGATCTGATGTTAGTGTTGAGGGACCGCGCTACCCGAGAAACAAAATTTAGTTGTATCTACTTCGCTTAAAAAATTCGACCAGTATTCTGACCTAAATAGGGGAGCCAAGCGTTTTTCACCCATTTTCGTTTTCAGGAGTTAGGCCCTTCCCAGGGATACATTTTGATGACCTAGTCTAAGTTTCGAGAACCAAGAAAAAAACCGACAATCAGCGGTTTCTTTTGTTGGCGTTTCAAAGGGTTTTCCGAGTGCGAAAATCTCACTTGTGGTGGTTATATAATGGCTATGTAGTAGCCTGTAAATTCTCACATTTTTTGGAACTCGTTAAAATTCAAGTTTCAGACTCTAATTACGCTACTGCTACACTACTGAAGATACCAAAGCACTATAGATGTTTCACTACGGAACCTATACTAATTATTCTTTAAGAATCCTTGAATTAATGTGATTTATCTATGTTAGATGTGCAAACTCTCACCGAGAACTTGATTGGCATCTTTAGCAGTTTTGTACATGTAGTGTACAACTTTACCAGCAGCATCGACTGAAACGATTTTCACTGATCCTTCACAATCGTCGGGAAGGTTTATCACAGGCGAAATACAACCATCACTGGCACGGAATTCATTACCCCTGCCCGGTTCATCACCTCGTGGTAAACGCTGCGGTATACAGCCGGTGTAGCGTATCGGTTGTTGAGGTGCTGGCGACGGATAGCAAGGAACAGGTTGTGGTTGTGATGGATATGTTGGTGCTGGTAGACAGTTGTAGTACTGTTGCTGTGGAGGAGGATAGGTGGGTGTTCTGGGAATACAATTTGGTCGTCGTTGAGGTTGTGGTGGTGGTGGAGGCGGTGGAGATGTGGGTCGACAGTTCACCCGCTGGTGGACAGGTGGGGGAGGATATGTGGGACTCGGTCTCGGCCGACAATTACGTCTGATCGGCACTGGTGGAGGTGTCGGAGGTAGTCGAAGTTCTTGAGTACGTCGTGATTGGCAGTTTCTTCTTGGCTGAGGAGCTGGAGGCGGTGGTGGACGAGGATTACAAGCGGCTCGACGTCGAGCTTCTTCTTGTTGTTGGCGTAGACGATCCTGGTACTGCTGTTCGTAGGCCCTACGTTGTTCATCACGTGCTCGTTGATCATCTTGGTTACTAGGCCATTGGGCTCGTTGATTATCCTGACTATTAGGCCATCCGCCATTCGGTTGCACATGTTGTCTTCGTTGTCTATCTACTAGAGTATGCAATCTAGCCTCTATTCGGAAAGGAGGTGCTGCAAAAAGAAAATTTTTCTGAGGAATCTGATCATATCGACAGTTATATGTGTCAGTGGTTATTGATCGGGAGGTTAATTTTTGAACGATAACAATTGCTGTTATTCACATTAGGACCCGATTTCACACAGACATCACATCATTCGCAGAAAACATCAGTGCTCACGTGTCACTACACAGCAGTTCATTGGGGTGCAAATCAACAACCACAGCTCAAATCCCCGAAGCATCACTGCAATCTCTTTCTTAGAGCACATATGTCGGTCAAGAATGGCGTTCCCATCCCATCGCGTTAGAATCTTATTTTCAAACATGTAGCATTTGAGAGAACCTAGCATACTTGTTGCTCTCTCCCCTCCTTAGTAACCTGTGCTCGCAAAATTCTAAAACCTAATCTCAAAGGTGTGAGGCACGATAATTTGAAGCCGGTCTGAAACGGTAGCAAGAAACGGTGCTACATAAGGGAAAATGGCGAAAAAGAGAAGTGAAACGGTCAAAACCTGCAACAAGCCTTTGTTTCACACAACTCAGAAGGCAATTTTGCACGAGTTTCTCGTTGGCACAGTGCCAACAACCGCTACGGTATGCATGGCTGCGTATATGTATGTAGTCATATATTCATGCAGCACCGCAGCCGCTTCATATCAGCGTTCTAACGACATATTGTTCTTCGCAAATGAAGCGACGAGCATCACCATCAGTCGGACATTTGTGGGCGGGCGGGCGCGGCGGGTGTCCGGTTGGGTAATGCAGCTTCAGAGGGGCGGGGGTACCCTTCTTGGAATAGGCGCGCTTAGCAACGCTAAAGATAAACCTCGCCATTGTACAATGTGGATAGCGTATGGATCAATAAATCTGGATAGAAATTTGCATTCGATTACAAACTTACAGTCGCTAAATGACTCTCTTGGGGAAAAAAGCAAAAAAAATCATGCAGAACACCCTAACTAAGGACCTTGTAACCCCTCTGGACGAGTTTTCCGGATCTGCTCGTTCATGCCAGCAAAGGGATATCCTGCCGCCTCTGGCTCATTAATCGTTTCTTCGCGTCGTCCATCCAGTACCAATACGGTCTAATTGTAAAAAAAAGCGAAAAACATGGGGTAACAACTGTTCTCGGGACAGAAATGGCCTCCGAGCTTCGGTGGACGGGACAACTAGGGAGGCGACAGAACTGCCACTTCTAGCCATAGCTTCTTCGTTACTTACTGTGAAGCCGTAAAAGAGGGAGACTGACGGTCAGACTAGTTGTATTAGGTTGCGGGAGAGTTCTGTCACATTTTTCAAATCGGGCTTTCTTTTTATAGAGAGGCGTGTAAGATCAAAATTATACAGCAATGTTATTGCGGGTTCCTTGCCAGTTTTTGAGCACTTCGTGGATGCCATCGCTTCACAATGCAGGCGGGCACGACGCAAAGTTGGACATCATCTCAATCTTGACTTGAACTCGGGTTATGGAGGTTTTCTCGTCCACATAACGATTGAGTACGGAGGAACTAGCAGTTAGAAGGAGCAATGTCTGTGCTACACCAGTGCAAGGGGAGAGCCATCCAGCTCTATTGCATGAGGTACGGCTCGAACTTTTTTTGACGGAGTGGGCTGCACCATCACGTTGAAGACGGACTGTGCGGACGAATTTTCCCCTCTGATCGACGATTCGCTTCAGATCTCGTAGCTGCTCTGCGTACGGATTGACGGAGGAGGCGACTTCATCGTGCAAGGTTGTCCGATCATTGAGGGCATCGTCTTATTCAGCTCCATTATTTTGGCATCTGCAGCTATCATGCTGGCGTCAGGGTGGTGGAAGAAAGAGTTTGAGGAAGCGTCTGGAGGGGTCGGTGCCGATGGTAGCGGATAAAATCCTTGTCCATATTGCAGAAGAAGAAGAAGCAGGAGTCAAGCGAGTGGTACTAATAGAAAGATCACTTCTTGATGTATAAGTGCTCATAACCGGTTACCCCTCTTCAGGTGATGGGCAAGTCTTCAGGCGATGGGCATGTATTTTGAGTTCAAAAACGTGTGAAAGAACTTTCCCGCCAACCTAATACAATGAAGAAAGCCTACGAACTAGTTGAGCGCGGAGACTGCCTTCAAGCGCGAGTGCAGGTGATGGAGCTCAGCTTCTGCTATGCAAAAGAAAGTGGACGCAGGCGAGGGGGATCGCCTTGCAGTTGAGAAAATTATTTTGATTGTGCCACCTTCGTATTGCACGATTGCTTCACAACATGATGGTGTGCTCCAGCTCCAGGCTCCTAGGACTCCTTAGCAGGAGGGTTGCGGTCGTACACCTCCACAAAATATTCCTCATATTCAGTAGCGTGCGCTGTTCCCCAACTAGCACATTTCAATCAATGCTAAGCGTGTACGAAACGAAGGTGAAGGGCGAAATGGGCAATTGAAGCCATACGTGTAGTGACTTTTTCTTCCCTCGGGCGAAAACACCTTGGAAACGTGGCAGTCTCAGTAAGTCAGCCACATCGTACAATGACTACTCAAAAGCTAGCAGTTATTCTTTGGACACCTTGTACGCTTTGAAAGACCCGTTATCAGTAATTACCATAACCATTTCAGAAATCTTGGTCAACGGGGTCTCGGCACAGCGCCAGTCAACCATGAGTCATCTTCTTAAGATCTTTGCTCTCCCGTCTAGTCTCGATATCTCATCTCATGGTGCACGACCACTTGGGTTTTTGCAACATTGCTTGCATGAGGTGCTAACCGTACACAGTGGACTAATTCGTGCTAGAATCGCCTCGCAGAGGGGCGTTGAAATGACGCGAGAGGGTGTGCAAAAGCAAGATTCCAGAGTGCGATGGTCCGAAATCTCCGAAATCGTCTCGCAACCCGATGAGATTCAATTCTTATGATAG